GAGAAAATCCGAGCCGAGACAAGCCCCTAACCCCTAGGCCAGCGGACGCATAACGGTTCTGCGTAGCTGGAATTGTGCACCGAGTCCCTTGACAAGATCGAGCAGGATACTAGGTGAACTGGGGACGTTAACGATATAGAGACACCCTGAGTAGTTGTTGCTAGATACTCACAGGTTAAAGCCGCATTTCACGTCCAAACCCTATTGCTGTACGGAGAAATAAGGGTACTAATAAAAGAAAGTGAACGAGGGTTCGAGAAGGGCCAGGAAACGAGTTCACCCGATGATACTCTATCCAAGTGTTTCCCTGTCTGAGTTTATAATCGGACTTGTCGAGACGCTTTAGTACGCACAGTCCAGGTGTGATCGACGAGGTTAACATCAGTGGGATTGTTTTGTAGAAGGAAGACGGGTAAATCGTAGAACATGTTATATTTTGGTCTTTGGACATGGTCGGTGGTCGTTCAATTGAGACGAAACTGATCGACGGCGGGGAAATTTGAAATCATAAAGAACCTTGAGGAGTGCAACAAAATCAGAAGCTTTCACGCCTTCCATTCTAATTGGATGCTCGGGTGAAGAGCCTTCTTCTGATTTTCCGTCTGTGGCTTTGGGTACTTCCGACTTGAGTAATTGATACTTGTAGACGTTGAAGAGCGTATTTTCGATCTAAACCAAGGCTCAATGTTTATTGGAGATCCCGACGAGCAAAATTTACTTACTTGAATTGCAACGAGAGTGTCATCAAAGAAGAAGTCAGAATGTCTCTCAACGATTTGAGAGGATTCGACATTCGATCTTGTGCATTGGTTCCTCGGGGTTGATGAGAAAGCCGTTTGAGAGCGTGGTAACTTACCATTAGATTCATCGTTGGACATTTGGATGGCAGATGTAGAAGGGCAGTGGGGGAAGGTGGTGAGACCCGAACTGATAGCCACATTAATTTTAAATAGCCACCAGACTGACTGGCGCGTATCACTCTGATTACAACAGATAATCAGTCACATGCATATATTAATGGGGGTAGGTCTGAATACGAACCTAAGGTTCTCTCACACGGAGACCGAAGCTTACCCAGATCTTGCTGCCTGCGTCAGAGTTGCGTCTACGTGTGGGGTGTTCCTATTATGGCTCCGGCAACCTTCAAAGGGATGAATATGGCAATGGTTTTGCGTAGCCGGAATTGCGCACTGAGTACCTTGACAGGATAGGGCAAGGTATACGGATGAACTGGAGACGTTAACGATATAAGAACACCCTGGATAGCTGCTCCTAAGTGTTCACAAGTTAAGACTGCGTTTCACATCCAAGCCCTATCGCTGCACAGAGAAATGAGGATACTGATGAAAAAAGTGGAGAATGGTTAGGGAGGGGCCAGGAAACGAGCTCACCCGGTGATATTTGCCGAAAATGCTCCATCAAAGTATTCCCTTGCCTGAGTTTATAATCGTACTTATCAAGCACTTTGGTACGCACAGTTCGGGCGCTCGACGAGGTCAACATTGATGACGGCACTTTTGGAATTATTTTGTAAAAGGAAAACAGACAAATTGTAGGTTGTGTGATGTTTTAGGTCTTTGGATATGATTATACGGTCGGTGGTCGTTCAATCGAGACAAAGCTGATCGACGGCAGGGAAATTTGAAATGTCCTCACTGTCGCCCACCACAGAGCCGTGTGAACTAGCACTTCATGTACCATCCCGAGGCTTGGGTTTTAAACTGCGGTTCATCTACGCTCCTCCACGCGCACAAGTGTTTGGCCATACTACTATTCCCCCGTCGCATCTAACCCATTAGGAATTACCTACATCTCGTGTTCTCCTTCGCGTAGACTGGAATCAGGTCCGAATCGAGTATCTCTCTCATTATGCCCATGAAGAAAGTAGCTTACGAGTTCAAGTCTCGCTTCAAAATCAGAATCAAAAAATTGACTGGAAGTGACGAAGGGCCCCAAATCTTGCCGGCGGTGTCTCATGCAGTTGGAGCTACCCCGTTAACTCTGGAACATGGCTCCCGACCCCTCAAATTCCTGCTCCGGTAATGCTTGGCTAATTTGACTGGAGTACTGGAATCTTCATTCCGAGCTTGGCTTAGGTTCAAGGTCATGCTACACACGCTCAACTGGGCGATAGCCGGTGAGTTAGGTCTTGTGAAGGCCGTGGTCGAAGGGGTAGCCGAATGTATCTATATCCGAAGTACGAACATCCTTTTTTGGTGTTTGTGCATTGCGTGGGACTCGCTGGTTTATCTCCAGGACGTAGCGCAGGGCGGGAAAGAATATGGTGTTGGGAGGTATATTTGATGATCGACAAGAGTAGTCTTTCAAGTCAACGCCCCCAGCAATCATAGAAAGCATGGCGAACATCTGTGAGGAAGTTTAAACCCAAGATTGGGTAGGCTTGCGTTTAATATCTTGAACCAGCACCCCAAGTTAATTATATAAAGAGCTAGATTACACGGAGGGCCGACAAACTAAATTATCAGCAAGACAACTTGCAGGGGCGAAAGATAACTCGAATGATGTACCAGCATGCTACCATCGGGTGTGAGGACATTTACAACGGTTGACGGTGAGATATACCAGTGTGTGGTCAAGTGACGCTTGCTCACGTTTGTGATAGTACAATGCGAATATCCCAACTTGGGTGATTGCTGATCAATTCGTGACGGTGCTGTTGGGTGACGGAGTCACCGGAGGATCGGCGGCCGTCGGTGGTGGGCTTGCGCCGTCGCCGACTCAGGAGGTGCGGATCGTTCCTTATTTAGAACGCTCTTATTCGGGCATGTGGACTACCGATTTCGTCTCCTATTCAACTTTGTATTTAGTTCGCTCTTTCTGTATCGCCCCTCCCTCAGCTCGTTCTCTCCCTCTCTGAGCTGAGTTTTACATTCTTTAGATCGCCGTCTCCGCTGTTCTACAGGTGCACCATCCAATATCTAATCTCTTGCCCTTCCAGATACGTACCATTGCAAGTAATGAAGAAGGGCCCAAGTGCGCATGTGTAAGAAATTTTGGCTTCTAACACAGTTCCCCACACAGCCTATGATATTCAACTAACGAATGCATTAATGATTTGATTTTCTACCTTTCGCAGTGCGCCACGCACACTATCACAGACCTCATCGCGACTTGGCATGGGCTTATTTATTTTTGAAGACCGGACATGTTAAACGAGACAGAACTTGATTGGGGCTTTCCGTTTAATGGGCACCCAATGGCTGAACCAAAGGGGGAAGTAGGTTTTCTATATTTGGTTCCAGGTTAGTGCATCCATAATAAGTCACGTAGCAAGGGGATGTAGCGCAGTTGGCAGCGCACTCACTTAGCAAACCACGCACTAGGTTGCGAGAGGTCCTCGATTCGAATTCGGGCTTGTCCATCTTATCTTTTTGTCTTTGGGTCCCCACGAAGATAACCTTGTTATATGTAATCCCCATTACACTCGTTTACTATATTAGTCAACACTCAAATTCGCAGTTTCCCTCCTGCTAATATGCGTGCGCCCTAACACTTGATCCTTGAAGGAATTTCTGAGGCTATTTCATTAAATTTTTACACACGTCGAGAACGCCAATACTAGTCTAGAGAAAAGTACAATAATCAATTTTTGAATACGTAACCATCCTGGACCCATTTCTTCACTTCCGTTTCAAGGGCTGAATTTGCCTGGGTCACCATAAGAGTTCCGGCTCCATTGTAATTAAAGTAACCATAGTTTCCAGATGAGCCTTGGCAACCATTGCAGGTATAACCACTGCCAGTGTACGAGAAGCCAATGCAAGGTGTGCAATAATTACTTCCCGAAGTAAACCTAGACTTGGCTGAACCCTGTTCCCCCAATCGAGCGATCAATAAGACACTATCGACCCCAAGCTTCCGTGCCTCCTCGGTAGTCAGTTTTTCCTTGCGTTGACAGAGTCGGATATGCGCAGGTACCAGCCAATCCTCAATATTGAATTCCCTGGCGAACAGAATCTTGTCAATGTCGCTCAGGTGTTTTTCGGCGAGAGGTAATAGGAAAGCGCGAAGGTCGGAGAAGTTCCACATATTAGCCAACCGGAAAGCCGGAATTATAAGAGATGCTTCGGGTTCTGGTTGGTGGGTTGAGAAATGGCTGGGGAATATAATTGGGTTTCTGGCTGCTTAGTCGTTATGTGCGACAACACCCAAGGCCCAATCTCACCTGGCATAAAGGACCTTGAGCAGCGCAACGAAATCCAAAGCGCTCACACCCTCCATTATGATGGGGTGCTCGGGTGAAGAGCCCTCCTCCGGCTCCCCGCCTTCAGCTTTAAATTTGGGAAACTTGAACATATCCGAGAAGGTTTCGGACTTGAGTAATTGGTATTTATGAACATTGAAAAGTGTATCCTCAACCTAGGCCAAGTTTAAGCGATAAGATGCGACAGGGATAGCTCTGTACTTACCTGGATGGCGACAAGGGTGTTATCGAAGAAAAACTCGGAATGTCGCTTTGCTGTTGGATAGGACTTGGCGGTTGATGCTTTGTCTTGATCGGTCGGGGCCAATGAGTAACGCGTACTAATGGATGAGATTGTGGTTACTTACCACCGGAACTACTGGTAGATGATTTATTGGCAGGTGTAGAGGCGTTATTGTTCATTGTCAATCTGGTGGTGAGGAGTGGGTGAAGGTCAGAAGAAACTGGTAGCCACTCATATCGATCTTACATAGCCACCAGATCTAGATCGGTTGCCGCCCGCCACTCTTTTGGAAATCATACGCAGCTTTTTATTCCTATGAATATATACAGCCCGTATGTATCTTGGAGCGGGCAACGATTAAGCTAAACGACATAATTGGGGTCAGTTTCGAAGGATTTGAGAATTTGACGGTCGAGTTGAAGGGACTGTATACCACACCTGAAAGATTTCGTGCATTTCGGCCCTCATCGGGTTTACAACACGTCACAATATCACTTCAGCGGGATTATAACAGATTACAAAGAGCCGGTCATTTGACCAATGCACCGGACAAGACACTAGAAAGACGGGTATTTAGAAGACTTTATTCGCCCTTAAATATGCACCCAGCTTGAACCCAACTTTTGAGACACTCTGGTACGCATAGTTCGGGTGTAATTGATAAGTTAAATATTGATAACGGTAAGCTTGGGATTATTTAGTAGAGGGAAGAAACAGATAGATTTTAGGACGTACCATATTTCGTGCTTCGGACATAGCCATGGGGTCGGTGGTCGTAAGTTGACCAACAAGCTGATCGACAACAGGGAAATTTGAAATTTCCTCATTGTTTCCCGCGGGACACCACAAGGACGAGTCAACCTCTCCTTCGAGTAGCCTAGCATCTAGTCCGAATCGAGTATCTCTTTCATTATGTTCATGAAGAAAGTGACTTACAAATTCAAGTCTCGACTCAAAACCAGAGTCAAAATGTTGAGCAGAAGTGACGAGGGGTCCCAAACCTCACCAGCAGCGTCTCATGTGGTTGACGCCACCCCATCAACTCTGGAACGTGTCTCCCGACCCCTCAGATTTCCGCTCTAGTGCTCCGGCTAATTTGACTGGCCCACCGGGATCCTCATTACGAGCTCGCGTCAGGTTCAAGGATATGTTACATACGCATAGTTAGGCGATCGCCGTCGGGTTAGGCTATGATTGAAGGGAGAGCCAAACGCATCCGTATATTCGAAGTATGAACATATTCTTTTGGTATTCTTGCTTTGCATGGAACTCACTTGTTCATCTACAGGACGCGCCGCAGGGCAGGAAACAATGTGGCAAATGACAACAGTGGGTGCCTTTCCGTAAGGATTTGTTCTAAAATTCTCGTTCTAAATCGGTCCGTCGGGACGGGTCGGAGTCGGGCCGCAGACGGGAGGCTGTGCTG